GTCTTGATTTGCGCTTGCTGCATGTGATTGTTGACGAGTGGAAGATTCAGCTCATCATTATCTATGGTCTGGCGCAATCCAACTCGGGCGCCCAGGAGTTCAACGATGCGCTCTTGGCCACGGCGACCCAGAGAGTTCAGCAAGTCAATCTACCAGCAATCATTCTTGGTGATTTCAATGCAGATGTGTACAAGCTACCATCAGCTCATCGTTTAGCTCATTTGGGTTTTTTGCACTTGCAACAGTTGTACACCAACATGTATGGCGGTAACATGCCCCCGACTTGCAAGGAGGCCACTAATCCTGATACTGCTTTCATTTCACCGAACCTTTCGCCTCGATTTAAAGCCATTAGTGTCCTTCAGGAACCCCTCTTTGATGCTCATAATGTGGTTCTTTTTGACCTTTGCGGCTTTTCAGGTAACCTGTTCAAACAAGTTTGGCCCAAGCCGAAGCCCTTCACTGATCTCATTGTCGATCGTGAACTCCTCACACAGGCTGATGCTGACCTGGCTCATGTGCCTACACCAAGTAGCTTGGAGGAGTGGGGCCAGCGAGTGGAGCAAACTGTTGACGTTGCCCTCCGTAAGGCACCTTCTGGGGCTAGCTTGCCGCGTCACTTGCCCAGGTCCTTTCGAGGTAGGTGTTTGCCACAGAAGCCCAAACAGATCTTGATTACTTCTCTAGTCCCCAAAGCCAGGAGTGGGGATTTTGAACCTACTCAAGAGATTCATCGTGTGGTAACAGCCGGTATGATCAAGCAATTGCGGCGGGTCCAATCCTTGAGACGCAAGCTCTGTAAGGAGGCATTGCACAATACCCTTATCCTGGAATGGCGATGCATTCTTCGGTTTCGATACCAAGCTCAGTCCTTGTGGCCTGGCTACAGTCCCAACCGGAGTTATGGCCTGTCCCTTGGAACTTACCCACCATGGAATGGTTGAATGATCTTGAACAGCTTTGGCGTCATGAAGTCAATAGGGCCATGACTGTTGACAGTCAGACCTTCCAAGATAAGCAAAAGTTTCGTCTCCAGCTTGATAAGAAACAAGGTCACAATAAGCTCACTTTTGCTTCTGTTCGAGGCTCCACGCCCAAACTAGAATCTGTTGAGCAAGCCTGTGAGCAAGTTGCCATTTTGGTCCCATTGTGCACGAGGGTCACTTCCAAAAGCCATGCTCGATATGAAGCTTTTGTTGCCGAGCCTTCTGCGTTTCAAAAGGTTCGTAACTTGTGTTTGGATAACCAGCCGGGTTGGCTTCATGACATTCGTGAACACTCTATCCTTGTGCCTTGTGCTGCTGAGTTCGTTGATCTTGACAATGTTCAAGTGAGGCAAAATATTCTTGTTACCAACCCTCAGCAAATTTGTCATCACCTGACTCAATTCTGGGAACCCATTTGGCAGAGGGATGATTCGCACCTTCATTCTCCGGCTTTGGATGTGGCTTTCCAACAGTTTTTGGACCTGCTGCCAAGCCAGAACTTGCATATTGACTCGGAAAATTTGGTGACATGGAAACAAGTGATTAATGGCTTGAGGTGGAACGCTGCACCGGGGCCAGATAGCATTACTGCCTTCGAACTACAATCCTTGCCTGATCATCTCATTTCCATGTTAATCCAAGTGGTCCACAGCTATCCGGATGGCTTCCCCTCTTGGTTCATGGAAGCTAAAGTCTTTGCCGCCCCAAAGGCTGTTGGCACCCCTGTTCCTGACAAGGTTCGGCCAATCACAGTCTTATCCCAGATCTACCGTGTCTGGGCCCAGGTGGTCTGTCGTCAACTCTTGACAGCTTTTGGGCAGTTCATGACATGCGACATCACTGGGCTCCTACCAGGCCGTGGTGCATTCGAGGCTGCATGTCACCCAATGCTTTTTCGAAGAGGCACATGCTGCAGGCGAGCCCTGTGCAGGCATCACCCTGGATCTTGTAAAATGCTTTAACGCAATTAATAGGTCTCGTGGTGTTGAAATTGTTCGTCATTTGGGTGTGCCAGAGCCTATCCTGACCCAATGGTCTGGCTCCTTGGCTAAGCTTTCGAGACGTTGGGAAGTTCTCGGCCAGTGCTCTGATGTGATCAACAGCAGTTGTGGATTCCCAGAGGGGGATGTCTTCTCAGTTCTGGTCATGTTGGGTGTTGCACAATGCTGGACGGCTGCATGTCGTACCCGCACTGCTGCTAGTTCTTTGATTTCCGCTTACGCCGATAACTGGGCTTGGGCAGTGAAGGATGTTATAGACATTGAGCCTCTCCTTGATGTCACTGTGCGTTGGACAAAGATTATAGGCCTTCAGATTGATTGGACTAAAACATGGTGGTGGACGTCACATTCCCACCTTGCTTGTGCCGTTCGTAATGCATTTGATCGCCTTCAGTTGCCTGAGGTCGCCAAGGTCCAAGCTGCCAGTGATCTAGGGTGTCCATTACGCTATCAGGGTGCTGCTCGCATGTGTAAGCTTCATGATCGATTGAGCAAGGCTAAGGAGAGACTTGCCCGTCTCAAAGTCTCCCATGTAGATATTGATGTCAAAGCCCAGGTCATCTCGGCCAGTGTCTATCCGGTAGCCTTCCATGGAAGTGAACTGTTCCCAGTTGGTCAGCAACACACTCGGTCCCTCCGTTACCATGTGGCTGAGGCTCTGGTTGGGCCTTCTGAAAGCATGGCTTCAGCCCTTGTTACACTGTGTGCCTCTAAGTATGTCAAAGACCCAGAGCTTCATATGATTCCTTCGGCTTGTGCAGCTGCCCGGAGATTCCTACTAGCTCGTGATTGCTCTCAGCATAAGCGATTCTTTAAACTTGTCTCGCAATACTTTCCTAAGCCGAACACCTCTAAGGGTCCAGCCTCAACGCTTAAGACTTATTTAGTTCGATTAGGATGGTCCATGGATGCCCAAGGCACCATTCAAGTCTCGACATTTGTCAAGCTTTGTTTTCTGTACTGCCCTTGGAAAAGCTTGGTCTGGTTTGCTGAACGGGCGTGGCAAGATAAACTCCTGGTGTTGCGTTCCCACCGAAGGTCTTTGATTAATTTCCCTAATGTTGATCAGCGCCTCACGAGACAGGTCCTTTCTCGTTTCACGGTTGCCGAGCGCCGCATCTTGGTTCGTGAAATCGCTGGTGCCTATCAGACAAGGAGTCAACAAGCCATCTGGGATGACCAGGTGACCCCAGATTGTCCATGGTGTGGTCAGGAAGATACCAAATTTCATCGGTTCTTTGAATGCGATGCGACACAACATGTTCGTTCGCCTTTCCAGAACTTGATTCAGGAGATTACCTCTGATGACACCTTGCTGCCTGAATTGCCGGTCATTTTTGAATCTGTGGATGATGAATTTCGTTTCACATTTCAATATGCCATTCGGCCTAGATCACCTGAGCCTTCGGAGCTAGCGACTCTACAGGAGTGTGTGTCCCTACTTTCTCCATTGCATGTATACACAGATGGTAGTTGTCTGCACTCTACTTTGCCGTCGATGCGATACGCAGGATTTAGTCTGGTTGTGGACTCCTGTCGCAGTGATGCTGAGCGCAGCTGGCATGCGCAACGCTTCAAAGAGCTGGGCGTGACACCCCCTACATTGTATGTGATTGTCCAGGAGCTCTGCCCGCAGGCTCAGAGCATTCATCACGCAGAGCTTCGAGCAGTGGTTCGGGCCAGCGAATACTTCTGTCATGCGGTCATTCATGTGGATTCCTCCAGTGCCATTGCTACCTTCGAGGCTGCTCGGACTGTTCATGGTGTGCACTTGCACCGTCACCCACATCCTGAACTATGCCTCAGAATTCAGCAGCTTGCCCATGCTGACTCCAATAGGCTTGTTAAGATTAAGGCCCACACAAACCCTCAAGATTTGCCTGACCTGCTTTGCTACCATGCACTTGGTAATATGGTTGCAGACCGTGCAGCTGCAGAGGTCTGTAATTCCTGTCATCCTCTTCTCACGAACGCATGGCAAATGCAAGCCTTGCAACGTAAACAGGAGATGGAAGTACTTGAGCAATTTTACCGCCTTTCTTTGTCCCTGCAGAGCCATCGTAAGCTGCATGAACAACATGTTCCAGCCTTTAAACCCCTTGGAGCCCCGTTTCTCGACTTTGTGTTCTAATTGGACTATTGAAGAGGCTTGGCAGCTTGATGCGGCAGCTATTCGTGCTAATAATTGCTTTGACCACTCCTGCTGGGGTTCTTCCTTGATGCACTGCATGCTTGATTGGGCGGGTCAGATCCGATGGCCCCAGACACCTGGCCCCCCCGAATCCTGTTAATATAGGTGTGTCTTGGATGGAACTGGTCCTCAGCTTCATGCTGTATACTCGATGCTATCTCCCTGTGCATAGGAAGGCCCCGCCAGATGGGCATTGCTTTGCTTGGGCTAGGTCAGGCACTGAGGCCCATGCCTTTAACCTTTAACAATTCTTGGAACGACAGTTCTCCTCCATGTTTAGCCAGTTTGCCTCTTTGTGCGGCCAAGCGGCCTTGCCAGACCATGCCAAACGAGCCAGAATTTGTGCATTATATAGACAGGGCGCAGGGAGTTGTGTATTCGGTCTTGTACCTCGTCCGGCCTTCCCGAAGCAGGATCAGGTTGCAAAAATTGTTCAGATGGCATTTCAGAAGAACTTTCGAACTTGTGCTTACAACTGGTGGCCTCCCATTGATTTCTCACTGCAGGCTGAGTCCTACCCGTTTCAATGGCAACCCCCAGCTGGCTCATGGAACAAACTTCAAAAGAAGCTCAAGGAGGGTTCGAGGATTGCCCGTCGGATGCGATCCACCCTCGATACTTCTTGACTGTCGTCTTCTTGGAGCTCCTCCCGGACATCTTCCTCACGCTTTTTTCTTTTCACTTAGGCCGTCTTCAGACTCAGACACTCAGCCCCTCTCCCGCCACCTGTGCCAGGGAGGGGCCTTTATGCAAGGAAAAGCCATCGCTAGTAGGATGGAGGCCAATTAGGTTCCTTTTGCTAACAGTGTGGCATGTTTCGGCCTTCTGTTTGGGCGCCATCTTGGCCCCTTCCTGATCTGGAGACATGAAGCTGGTAAAGGGCATAGCACCTGAGGGGCCAAACACACCCAAACGAAATGCAAGAATTGTCTGGAGTCTAACATGACACCTGATAAGATTGTCACTTTTATGCTAAGACATGAGTAATTCAATGGGTGGCACGCAAGTCAAAGCATGTTCAAAATCAGAGAGGAGTTTGCTTCGTGGTGAAGGTCCTTTGTGTGAAAGAAGTGGCAGCTAAACGCATCGATACAAAGAACAGGGGGGCACGAAGTGACACTTCCCTCTTACGAAGTAAATCAATGGAAACATGTAAGTCATCTGGTGTAACTGGTGTCTGAGTCCTGTTGTGCGCTGGCCTTAATTAACGTCTTAGTAACCCGAGTTATTGCTGACTCCAAATCCGCTTTGGCTGACTGCTACAATTTCACAACAGTGTTTACAGTAATTCTATTGGGCGAACGCGAGGAGAGCAAAGCTAGCCTTTTAGACGACAAAGTTCCATGCAGCGCATTCTACACGGCAACCTTTTGCCCTTATCCCTTCGACGGCATGGGATACCCCACGGTGCCAGTCCCGCAACTTCGAAAGCCACCACTTCACTGTTCGGCAGTTGGAGAGGAGTTCCTTCGCTGCACTCAATCTACCGCCGAAGGCGTTGCGTTTGAACATCTATACAAATACATAGTAGTTGGTACAATAATTTCACGTCTGCAATCTTTCATACATGTCGCCCCCGGATTCAATACACACGAATTCAAGGGCACTTAAACTTTCTTAAACAAACATGAACGGACAACCCTGTTGAAAATGCCCCTGCAATGACTACGAGATCTAATTTTGTATTGCTCATGAAGAAAACTGACAACATTCATTCTCATGGGGGAATGGAGCGAAGCAAGACACAAATCCGATATGTATACTCTGCATTGGGACTCATTTCTTAAATGTTCCACTATCATGATGAAATCATTATTGAGTCTTGAACAAACTACATCGATCTTGTCTGTAAATCTCCAACTTGGAACCCAGTGAGAGGTTCCTGGCTCTTGGCATCAATGACGCTGATCCAGCTCTGCGAGTCGTCACAGCCTTGTGCGGCCTTCCTGGCTAGATCGAGGGTGAATTCATGTTTGCTTCAATGATTTGATGCCTCAATGTCTCTCAATTTACAGTCTTTCAGAAACAAGGAGAACCGACACTGCCTTCAAGGACCACTCCAATTCCTTTCCCTCTACAAGGCTTTCAAAAGGCCACTTGCAACTTCTGGCTAATCCTCTCCACCTATTCCCCCCTAGTAACAACTTTGGGCGCATTTCTTTGAATAGGGGGGGTCCCCGAAATCGGGGTTGTCCAAAACAAATCAATATAGGGTCACCTGGGAAGAGCTTCAAAACCAAACAGTCACCCAGGAAAATGTTATATAAAGCCCTTAAACTCGTATCAAAAATTGAAAAAGCCTCCAGATCGAAGGGTCTTCCTTTTCCCCCTACAAAAACCTTTATTAGAATTTAGAATAATGATTCTTCATTAGACTAACAACTAAAGCTTTCAAAAGGTGATGTCGTTGTGCCATGCGGTTTTGCGCGAGGACCTCGGTGGCAAGTGCGTTTGCATGAGTCCATGCCATTGGGGGAAGGAAAACCTGCTGTTGTAAATGCGGCGTGTCATGGTGGATAGACAGGGTGGACAAAGGTGGGCAGTTACGGTTGTTTTTGGAACCTAATAAAAAGACAAACTATATACACAAAAATCGACCATGTTGGTAGTTTCATAGCGGCTTTAAAGGGCGGTAATTAAAACAAACATATAAGCCGTATTTAGGAGGTTCCGACGTGTTTTTTTTATTGCCGAGTGTTTCTTTTTTTAAAAAGGTACACGGGATTATCTGTGAGCAGCTAAGCAACTGCATGCTGATGGTGTACCAAAAAGTATTTCAAGAGCTTCCCCAAGAACACGCAGTTGCAAAGCCGGGAGTCGCAACAGTGCCCAGATCAAAGGCCGTAGCTTCACGCAAATCTGGGTGCAAATCCACACCTGACAAGATGGACCCCCAGCTTCTCGGTAAAGCCTCTTGTGATGCCTAGATAAGATGACAGGATGAAGAACAAAGGTCCATCAAAAGCACATCAGCTTACCTGGACCTACAACAACCAAAAGAATATCATCCGTGTGACTGACTGCAATGAAAGCAAGATAGTCGGATTGCTGGCTTCGTCGCAGTCTTTAAACAAGCCCTGTTGTATGCCCCTGCAACTGCCTGCCAGTTTCGCTAAACGAGACGATACTGCACCATCCTGCGTTTTCCGAACGATTGCATCCATTTGCGCTGGCGCTAACTGTGGTTGTCACTGCTCAGCTGCGTATTCAAGAGCGCTTAAAACATCTAAATCTAAACACAAGCAGTCTAACAACATGTGCGGCATTCAACATGGTATGGCCTTGTAAAATACCTACATGTGCTCACAAACTACACTACAAGTACATGACTATTCTGTGCTGGCATTCTCAACTGAATTCGTTGCGAGTTTTTTAATATCTATTAACACTGCACCACAAATCTTTGCCAAGTGGTTTCAAGCCATTTGCTAGAAGTCTTTCCACAACAGTCAACACTTTGTTTGTTGAGATCCTTCTCCGCTGCGTACCACGTGGCCAAGGACTGCATCTGACCCTCAAACACCTCGAAGTTGGTCTTGCCCAAGCTTGCATCACTGAAGACTTTGAAGTTCTCACTACATCGCAAGGGGATGAAGCGCCCATCCCTGTAGAGCTTTGAAGCCTTCTTTCTTGGCAGCTGACCTGTTGCCATCTCCCCGTCCAGAATTTGTGTAAATTCGGAGTTGGGAGCCCAACGAGTGCAAACATAGATTGAGAAGATCTCCTTTGCCATTGAGTCCTTAGTGTCTCAAATGATTGATAGCCATTGAACTCGGTTTGACAAGCACGAAACTGAAGCACTGGGTTTATTGTTAATCCATCCATCCATCCATCTGCCTGCCTGCCTGTCTGTCTCTCTCTCTCGCTCTCTCTGAGATTCAATCTTCCTCTTGTTCCCTGTCTATTTCACCTTTTGTCTGTGAGTTGTTGCAACTGGGACTCAGGCAATTGAGTTGCTTGTGATTTCATTGATCATGCTCTGCATAAGGGCTTTCTTAGATCCAAATCCATTTTCAGAGTCATCGACGGACTCTTCATCCTCTGCAAGCTCCTGGCTGCAAGCATTGAGGGACAAATATGTACACACAAATTGTCTCGCAAGCAAAGCCAATTCTTCAGCAAAGAACAAATACATTGCTAAATGCATTGGAACAGGAAACATAACGGCAGTCAAATGCTCCATGTCTTTTACTTGGACGCCTGACAAGCCTGACCCTTCTGGCTCTTTCATCTGTCGAATAATGGTCCGTGACCCAACACTTATCGAGCTGACACCACTGCACTTCAGAGCTTAAGGTCCTCTTGACTGCTCAAATCACAATATGCTTTGACCTGCACAGCTGAGTGTTCTTGCTCACAGTTGCCTCTTTTGCAAATGTTTTTCACGCAATGCAAGCGCACCGTGTGCGCCGGATGTCCTGGCTTCACGTCTGAGCGGATGACCTGGACGGGCGGAGTATCAAGAACGTGAAAAAGCGCAATATCATATGGAGTATAGTAGGAACAAGTGCCACGCTACTAGTAACAAGTGCCTTACTAGTAGTAACAAAAAGCTATTAGCTTCTTGTTTCTAATAGCTTCTTGTTACTACTAGTAAGGCACTTGTTACTAGGCCAGGACTAGTAGCGATGCACTTGTTACTAGTAGCTTCTTGTTACGTATTGTTTTGACGCTCCCGCTCCGGGATGTGGGTATGCTTGGGGGTATGCTTCATGCAGAGTAAAGACCAACATGTTGACGCACGTTAACGCTTCAGAGAGCATTGGTCGGAGCATTTCTTTCAAAACCGTCAACACCATGGTGATAGGCGACCAGAGCTTCTAGGCGACTTTAGGTGTCAGAAAAGGAAGCAAAACAAAGTCACCAGCCTGTGGCGGCCGAGGAGGCGGTTTAAACTCCACATGGGGAGCTTCCTTGCAAAAGCCTAGGAGAGCTCAAAGGAGAGCTTTCCGCATGGAGCTTACTGTACTACAGTAATTGTCTGGTTCATGGCTATGATTCCTTTTATTATTCTCGTTTCTTCTGTAAACCTTCAGACCCTTTTTTACTTCCTTCCTTCCTTCCTTCCTTCCTTCCACGAGAAACTGTCTGTTTTAGGGGGTAGGCATGCCCATATGCGAAGGCTAGCCTAATGGCAAGGGTAAAGCTTCCATTTCGACAATGCCCAATTAGCGAGTCAATGAGCCATAGCGAAAATTGATGGAACATGGCCCGTGGCAGGGTTGCCTCAGAAGAAATTAAGCTAAGTGTAGAACTGACATCTGGTGCGTCATCTTTGAACTTGCTCCAAGAAAGGATGTGGCCACAAGAACGGCTTTTGAACCTCAAAAGCAAAATACATAAATGATCGCACGTGGAAGTCTGTTAGCTATACAAGTAAGTGTTTTCTCTACAGTATACAGTATATATGTAACTATATAGAGTGATTCATTGACACAGGGTTTGCTCCAATGCTAGACTCCGACAGAGCAAAATCGCCACGCGATCTGTGACTGTCAGCAGGCCCTGGGCCCAGAACTTGCAGCAAAGGTCGTGATTCGGAGAATAGATCTCTGTGGAATCCTCATCAACACCCTCAAAGGCAGTGACTCTGCGAGTGACACAAATGAACAAATCATAAGGATGCCACGCAGTTCGTTTATGCTCGTCACCGCAATTGGTTGGAGACATCTTGTGCAAACACAATGGGTACAAAAAGTCCAATAACTCTCAGGCACATCCTCTGAATCAGAGACATCGCAAAGACCTTTCTTGCAACAGCAGTCTTTCTGCTGTACCTGGATTGCAGGAGGTGCTGCCAGTCAATCAACACCCAAAACATATAAAGCTGGAAGGAGAAGCGCTACGCTACAGTCATCAGTACTCCTTCCAATTATATAATCACA